CAACCCAAGCGCAATCGCCTGTATATGTGAGTGTGTGTGTATGCGTGTGTTTGTTTGTATGTGTGTGTGTGCGTGTATTTGTATGTATGAGTGCGTGTGTGTGTGCTAATTATTATTGTAATATCAGTTGCTTGTAAGGTTCATGGGATCTCGTAGTCGAGCAGTCTCGACTAGAGCTTTCTTACTTGGTATAATTATAGTAGAACAATTCCTAACGCTTGCGCTTATTGGAAATAACAAACGGATTAAATATAAGATTAAACTGCCAATTTGTAAATACTTTCGATTCGATTACAATTTGCTCTTATATATTTTAGTTATTTATTCATATACCCTGGACTCATTAAAAATGGGAAATAAATGTATATATTACTTGCTGACCCGGCAACCGTGGCTTTGATATTTCGATTATTTTCAGGGAATATTTTGTATTTAAACACAGAATAACTAATAGTTATAGTCGAAAGCGTTGTAAGCAACTGAAGTATGCCTCATTTATTACTAATAATAATTACATTTAAAATAAGATACAGATTAATCTCTCAGCGCAATGGAATGCACGATATTCTTTGTTAGGCCACTAACCTGGTTAGTGGTGAGGCCAACACAAACAAACTGAATGGTTTCCCGACGCGAGAACATGCCACATATAGTTGTCCGTGGGAATAAGATGGTGTTTCCAACAACGATTGGCCTTGGGACTTATTGACAATATAATTGGGAATTGAATGCGTTTGAATTCAATTCGCCCATCACTAGGAATCATGGGGATTCGTTGCAACAATAAATTTTCGCCTTGAAACTTACCATTCAAAATGGTAGCCTCAATCACGTTCTTCATTAATTTTTCAATTACCAATCGTGTGCCATTGCACAGGCGTGGTGCATTCAAGTTACGGAGCAAAATCACTGGAGATCCGACCTTCAATTGTAATTGATGCAGTGGCATGTCTGGTAAATCCATTCATGACTTTTATATTGTGCGTGTACATCGGGAAATATACTGTCAATGAGGGCAGTATTTTCATGGACAGCAACTTTCCCATTGCCAATATCTAATAGCTGTTTTGAAAAAGTTTCGGCTGATGGATCCTGAAGCGTTTGGGAGCATGTTCACCGTCAGTTATACTCGTTTAACATTACGCCAAAGTCGCGATGATTTTAGGCAAGCGTCGATTTGATCAGCGTATGTTAAACGTCGAATAACGGGAAGTGTTTGTATGAAATCACATGAGAGGAGTAACAAAGTGTTTTGTTTTTAATCTTTCATTGTCCTATCCAATGCCTCCAGTGAATGCTTATGTGCCATGGTGCATTCATCCCAGATAATAATTTTACATTGTTTCAGCACAGTGTCCATTTGTACTTATCGGCAATAATAAGTTTTATTTCGTTCTTTATTCGCTGATAGCTGTGTAGTTAGCAGAGCGCGTGCATCTTTGTGCGTGAGCAGTCTCGGTTACTTGTTTATTTAAAAAAGCAATCCTTGAAATACTTTATAGTTGATTTAAAGTTGATATTCCCCTATTCCAACCAGTAAAGTACTTCCGAGGCGGTTCTAAGTTTGCTCACAGTTAATAATATCCCATATGAATCAGTTTCAATATTTTATTGCATTTTCATTCATTTATTTGATTGAATTTAATCTAAGCACGGGTTATTTTTCCAAGGAAGAGGAGAGAAACAACTTTTTGCTTTTTTGATAAAAACTCAATATAAGACGTGACGTCACAAGCGGGTATAAAATCAGGTAATAGGGTTTCATCGAAGTTCCATTTGGCAAAGGTGTAGTTCCAGTTCTTAACATCGGTATGTATATAAATAAATGTGAATATTATATAAATATGTATACCTGCTTGGACAAAACTTACCGCTTTCAATGGACATAATAATTTAGAGGAGGAATATTTTTGCAGAATTATCAGGAATATGTTTAGGAAACTACTTTTGTATCCACCTCTGAGATATTTACACCCATCCAATGTTACTCCGAACACTTGTTTGGTCTTATTATTCATTCCTTTAATTTTCATTGATACTTTTGCTTCAAAGCTGTTCACAACACTTTTAAATCTCACAAAAGCATTGAAGTAGCTGCGATTATTTTCTTCATACATATGTATGACCGCATCATCGACAATAGATCGGTCCAGAACTTGGGTGTCAATTCGTGTGAATTTGAATTGAACATCACTCGTTGCATACCCAGCCATTAATATCAACAACAGGTAGATTAATATATAACTAGCCATGGTAAATGACAAACTCCGATTGGCACATAATCATTCCGGCTAGAGTTTAAAAATCAATCATTTGGTATTTTCTGTTCACTGTTATACAGTAATTATGAATCAGATATTAAAAAAAAAAAAAACAATTAAAATTGAAATTGAATCATTTCCGGCCCCTATTTAATAGGAATAAGAACAGGATGCTGAACATTTTGAATACTTTTAATTGCATCAAAATACTTAATTCAACATATGTCATATATTGGGTAGTTTCTGATGTCATATATAATATTTATAATATATGTATATCTTTATTTGCCAATCTTTAAATAGGCTAATATCTACAGTGTTTTCTACAAATTAAAGTGACAGTCGAAATTTTCAAAATTTGTAAAAATTAGGATGAACAGTTTGAATGAATGCTATGCTCAACATAACATACTCAGATTCCTTATTTTCTAAGTTTTTTATACACAAATTATTTCCGACCTTTTGATAGTATTACATTTATGAATGTTGCCTGAAAGCGTAGATGTATATTCACTTCATTAAAATGCATTTGGCAATCGATTGCGCAGATTACAACGTTTACAGATTTATTTAATAATAATATTATGTGTCAAGCCCTACGAGTCTTTATTTTCTGATAAGAATATTGTGGTTCATACATCAGAAATCGACTCAATTTATAAGAGGCTCTTGTTATTATAGGTGAACCTTCCAATATTTAGTGCTGTAACAATCAATTTGGAATAGGAATAAAATTTCGTGGACACTTTGTATTTACATTCAGGTAAATAGTTGGGCACGTGTTTCTCGTCCATATACCAGTCGGTAAGCGTATAATTGAAGTTCTGCAAATCGAATATATTAGTTGTGTTTTATCAATAATATATATATATATTAGTTATCGATTGCTTACCGGTTTTAGTGGGCACTTGATCATTTCGCCCAATCGAGCTACAAAAGTTTTCGCAACTTGCCGATATATGCGCACCTTATGCAAGGCTGTGAAGTATTGACAAAAGTCCATGCGGTTGTTGTAAAGCTTCATCGTCTGATTGTTTGCTTTTATGATATCGTAATTAGTTATCATTTCAGCCTGATCGATGCTACGCCGTAGAATCATATTGCAGCTGAGGTAACTGCGATTGGCTTGGGTCACTACACATTTGAGCTCTTCGAAGATGTCAGGGGCATGATGCTTCACATAAAACTTATCGATCACAAGTTTAAGTTGACGTTCCTCTTTCTTGGCATCTAGGCCAAGGGCTAGAAATAACAGCAACAGGGACAGCTTAAACCAACCAGCCATGGCTGAAACTCGATGCGAAATAGAACAACATCAGAAATTAATAATAAGCTGCGAATCACATGCTTAAGTAGAGTTAGTTTAGAGATTGAGTTGATTGATAAACACGGGTAGACCTATTAAAAATAATAGAACAATTTTATAAAATTGTAAAATATATCAAAAATATGTTTAGAATATTTTTCTCTGTGCTCAAGGTAATCATTTTGGGTTCGTTCTCGTTCACGAAGTGAAAATGATATATCGTTTTTCTGCAATGCTCGACTTGCTGCTTATCCGACCGAAGTCGGGGTTGCGTGAACCTTTCGGAGAGAACACATTGCAGCCATTTCCATCATTCACTTCTGCTCCAAAGATGTACGAAATATAATAA